CCTGATATTTCATTTGGAGTAAACCAATTAGCGAGATATAATACAGAGCCAACTGATAGGCATTGGCAGGCCGCAAAGCGTATATGAAGATACCTGAAAATGACGATGCATTATGCATTGTATCTAGAACCTAACAATGATCTAGTATTGAGCGCATATGCTGATGCCAGTTTTGCTACTGATTTGACCACCAGAAAGTCCACATCGGGTATAGCTATCATGTTAGACAATTGTTTGATTGGCTGGAAATCAATTCATCAAAAACATATTAGTCTATCTACTATGGAGGCAGAATTCTCATGTTTGTCACTAGTTTGTACTGATCTGATTTATTACAAACAACTAATGATGGATATTGGTTTAAAGATGGATTATCCAATTGTAATACATGAGGACAACCAAGCTGCTATAAAAATGGCAACAAATTTAGCAGTTAAAACTAGATCTAAGTGTACTGACATTCGGTATCTGAATGTTCAGCAGTGTATTCAAAGCAACATGGTTAAGTTGGAATATTGTATGTCAGAAGACAATATTGCTGATAATTTTACCAAAGTGCAAGGTGCTATCAAACATAAAATGTGTTGTGAAAGCTATGGATTAAGAATCTAAACTGTATATATTGACCTGTCCAAAGGGCAGAATGTTAGGATATGGTTTGAGCCTAACAAGTTGTCCAGGCAATATATGTGTTCTGTAACTTTAATATGAATATGTATTGTGTGACTTTAAAGTTTTACTGCTGATTCATTGTAATGCTGAGTCATGCTGTAATTAGATAATCACTGGTTGTAAATGTATTGAAGAAAGGTACTGTAACATATTCAGTTGATGATATGCTACCATAGTGTGAGGAGTTGCTATCATTGTGCTATCATCGGTTGGATGGATCTGCTACCATCGTGGTTTGTGAACCAGAGTGAGTTTGTTATTCTAACCAACTACCGTTTGTGTGGTAAGAAGATTCTTGTATCACTGGACTGATTTAACTGGCAAAGACTTGGATTGATTTAAAGACTATGAGATTGCTTTTTCACTATAAAGTAAACTTTTGATAAACCAGTTTGCACATCTCTTATTCATTGCTCTCAGCAACGTTTCTCTGTGCTCTACACTCTGCTGGTTGGTAACACAACAACAATATCCTTAACAATATGACACCAATAATATGATACACATTGCTGTTTTGTAACGTTCAGGCAATTTTTCACTATAGTCCTGGTTAGTGTTTGTGAAATAGATATAAATAACTTCAAAGGAGTTTACCTTTTTACATAAAGAATACGGCCCTTAATTCAAAAAAGTTGTACATCCAGTGCTGAACCTAGTAGCTAAAACATAACATGAACATTAAATAAACTTCCTGCACAAATGTTTAGTGACTTATAATATTCTGTGAAAATGCACTGAAAATACAGGTAGTCCTTGAGTTACAACCACAGCTGTGCCCAACATTTCTGTTGCTAAGCGAGACAGTTGTTAAGTGAATTGTGCTCCATTTTATGACCTTTCTTGCCACGGTTGTTAAGTGAATCACTGGAATTGTTAAGACAGTAACATGGTTATTAAGTGAATCTGGCTTCCCTATTGACTTTGCTTGTCAGAAGGTCGCAAAAGGTGATCACATTACCCTGGGACACTGCAACCGTCATAAATTAGAGTCGGTTGCCAAGCATCTAAATTTTGATCACCTGACCATGTAGATGCTGCATCAGCAGTAAGTGTGAAAAACAGTCATAAGTCAGGTTTCTTAGTGCTGCTGTATCTTTGAATGGTGACTAAATGAAATGTTGTAAGTCGAAGACTACTTGTCTTAAGCTGTTTGATTAAGATGTCATTAATCTGATCAGTGTAAAAATGGGGAAAAGAAACGTGGAACTAGTTCTGTCCATCTAAAGAAACACGACTTAAAATTTACCAGTAAATACAATTACAAGAGAATAGGACGCTGCTGAGTTTTGACTTGTTATTGAGCTGTCCTTTGTACCAGATCTGTGATTTCCATCAATATAGATGTGGAAAAAGTATTTGAAAAGAATATGGAATGGACAGGCTGTTCCTTCTGGCCCAGCCCATCTTCCCATTCCATACCTCTTGATTGATTTCTATTTTGAAGACTAGCTGAATGGAAATTATTATCTAGCATTTGCAGAGGGAAATTAGCAGGTCAGGTAAGGCCAAGCATTTTCTTCTCTTTCTCTCTCCCCAAAGGCACCCAAATTCCCATGTTCTTTATGAAAGAAACATTAAATTGATTCTTGTAATAACTGGAATAAATGTAGTTTCATCTTTAGACCATGCTGAGGGTTGAGGGACACAGATTGGGCTGCAAATCTACAAGGCAACAGACTGCATCTGAGAACCTTAATTTAGCATACATAAGTTTAATTTTTCTTAAATAACTGTCTTGTGGCTTAATTAATTGTGAATCTCTAAAAAAAGGTGTTAGGTAGTCACAAAATTCAGCTATAAAGAGGTTATTGATGTAATAGGCAGAAGCATGTGAAACATGAACTGCAATATTCCTCTGTGGAGGCCACAGGAGAGAACAAGAACAGACAGCAATTTAGATGAAAGTAACAGCAGCGAGTTCTTTAAAAGTGGCCTTAAGAGGTATTGCCTGCCTAATTCCTCTCTCTGCTCAAAGGCTATATTGAGTCTTGGGAATAATGCATTTCTCAATAATACATAAAGCCAAAAACTGTGTGGCAAACCATGCTGAATGTTCTCCACCTTCATGTCTTCCTAAAAGGAGGACCCTAAGCCTTCTCCCATTGAGAACTTGGTTTGAAGGTTGCACTTCATTTTTCTATTATGAGTACAGCCATTTAAGGGACTGAAGATTCACATTTCTGTTCGTTTACATTTTTTTAAAAAAAATGCTATACAAGAAGCTGTAGGTGGCTAACAATCTCATCACAAAATAAAAGCAAATTTATTTTTTTATGTATTAAATTTCCATACCGCCCATCTCACCTAAATGACTCTGGACAGTTCACAAATAAAAACTGTAAAAAGAGCCTGCCTCACCTCTAGGAGAAAGATGTTCTATGGGATTTGGCAACAGTAGAGACCCTGCCAGCAGAAATTCTTTAACCAATAAGGTCTGTAATATACCGTCCCTGCTGGATCAGGTGGGAAAGGTCAATAAGATAAAGACAAGATGGTTCCTCAGTTAACCTAAGTCATAAGGGGCTTTAAAGGTGATAACCAATGCCTTGAATTGGACCTGGAAGCAGACTGACACCCAATAGCTGAGGTGTTAGGTGAATCATCCCAAAATTTCTCACATTCCCACATTCTACTAATATAAACAAAGAAAATACTTTACCTCTAATACATAAAAATAACAAACTAAATAAAAAGTATGCTTATATTTCCCCTTTAGTCGTAACAAACCCACCTTTGGGAGAGGAGTGTATGCCTGCTTACTCTTTTTTAATCCCTTCCTCTCCATCAATTCTCTACTTGCTAAGCGCCAGAGTGAATGTTCTAAAGGAGGGAAGGGAGTGGGGGGAAAGGCTATGTTGTTTGCCCTTTTGCCTGGCTTTGTTATATGTTGAGTTCCATTGTATACGGTAACCACTGCAAGATTATTGATTCCACTAAGATGGAGGAAGAAGAATGAAATACCCACAGTAGATGATTGGATTATAAAACTGACAAGAGTTTGTGGAAATGGCAAAGCTGATCAGTTTGGTCAGGGATTAAGACTTTTTTTTTTTTTAAAGATTGGAAGTCTTAAATGTATTTTTGCTGAAAGAAGAAAAAACAACTGATGATTTATGGATTTGGGAATTAAAAAGTTTAAAGAGGGACAGGAAAGAATAAGATGGTAATTACTTTACAGAGAGAAGAATGGAATTCAAAATTCTATGTTTTGTTTTTTCATTTTTTCTTTTTTTCTAAATCTTATCTTTTCCCCCTTATTTTTCTTCTCATGTTTTGCACTTTTAATGTGTTGTAAAAGGAGGGACAGAGAGGGGGGGGACGGAGAGAGAGAGAGTCAGAGACAGGGAGTATCAAAGGTGATAATTTCCTGGAATTGCTAGATTCTGGGGCCCAGGGGTGGGTTCTACTTACCTTTACTACTGGTTTGTAATAGGACCGCGTGTGGACACTCATTTCACTCGCATATGCTCTTCTGAGCATGCGCAGAAGCTTCTGCGCATGCACAGAAGTGTTCTGATGACGTCGGAGTCGGTGGGCAGAGCCTCCCTCTGGTTTTACTAGCAGTTCTATAGAACTGGTCTGAACCGGGGCAACCCACCACTGCTGGGGCCAAAATCTAGGTCAAAGCCTGTTCCTCCCATCTAGACCCTGACAATATTCAGAAGTGAATCATTACTTGTACTGCAATGTTTGTTGCTGTTGTTCCAGGGATGACCTGTATTATTGAATATCATCATCATATTAATTATAGTGATCCCATTCTTTACTGTAGATAACCTTCCCTAGTTTTTCACATAAAACGAAAAAAGATTGGGGCATTCACACAAGGTAGAAGTATAGCCAGCCACACAAACAGGCTGAAGAACAGTTTTTATCCATGGGCTGTCATACTCCTGAATGAGAAATAACATTATAACTACGTAGTATCATGGACTGCAGGGCCGGCGCAATGTGTAACATGTTCACACTGGTGCAATAGGACTGGGTGTTTTGTTATATGATTTATTGGGTTAGGGATTTAGTTTCTTCACTGTGAGTTGTATTGTGTTTGGGGGGGAGTGCACTGAGAGAGTTCAACCAATCTCATTGTACATATGTTGCCCACTGACAATAAAGATTTGAAAATAAAAGTCTCCAAAGATATTTGCCCTCCATTCCTCGCCATTGGAACTGCCACTTCCAATACAGTATAGTGATGCTAAGTGCAGGTACAAGGATCTTATAGGTAATGTTTATCTCAGGAATATACACTTTAACTAATTAAGGTCAGTTAGCCTCAATCACACTATTTTCTAATGGGTCTTTTCCGACAGGTCTTCCTGTGCCTGTGCACTGATTAATTAAACTTGGTAAACTCACTTGAAGTTAGTTTTCAAGACCTCCACAGCTTCAGTGTATCCTTCACCTGTCTATCCAGAAGATGCAGAAAGGTCAGTACTAAAAGAGGTACTTTAATTCTGATGCTGAATGTTGTATGAATAGCCTGGGGTGGGGATAATGGGAACTATGCCAAACTCTACTTTACTTTTCTATCCAGAACTTCATTGCATGTTCTGATATATGATAGGCACAGTTTGTGGGGCTTGGATTTATTTTGGTACATAGTACTTCACCTCAGTGTTTCGCAATATAATGGTTCTTTAGACTTCCAGATTCATTTCCCATGTGTAACACTTCTAATCTCCAGGCTGCAAATTGATTCATATCAAATAAAGTCATGTAAGGCTTTGATTTCTGAATCAAAGTTAGAACTTCCTTGGAAGCAGCAAATCAAATGAAGTGTTTCGGTGTTCTTTGTAAATACTCAGAGTGGATCACAAATTCAGGGGCTTTTCTGCAGATCTATGCAAAGCTTTAAGTAGGTTCTTTGCTTCAACAAACTTCAAGTGAAGCACTCCCTACATCTGCTCCATGAAACATTATGGTTGTTTCATGTTTAATAGCAAAGCAAAATAACGGTGTTTACTAGCTTTACTCTAGTTTGCTTCAGAACACCTCTCAGGCAGCTTGACGGGCTTTTTTGTAACACTAATCCCAAAGCAATTCCAGACCATTAAATTGTTTTGCTGTGATGAATAAGATGGGTTTCAATTTAGTCTGCTACCGCTTCGCTCGTGCACGTGCGCACACAGAAGCGTCCGGACGGGTGGGCGGAGCCTCCCATCACCGCCACTACCAGTTCGCCTGATCTGGGACGAACCGATAGCAACCTACCACTGTCATAGACCATGTTCTTTGTTGAAGGAAATCTATGCCACTTCACCTAGGTCTACCTTTCTATTGCTTCTGAGGTTGTTAGAATGTTGTACTTCCAGATTAAAGAGAGCACTTCAAAAATTAACAAAGTGAATATCTTCTAGAGAATTCACTATCCCTCTTATTTCATTCCATTGTTCTGAAAAATGAAGAATTTCAGGCAGTTTGATACTTGTGCATTATAGCCTATAGACAGTTTTTAAAAAAATCAAATCTCAAGACAGCTTCAAATAAAATGGAAAGCTAGGAAACCACACATTTGAATCAAATGTTGGCCTCTGGACTTTGAATTTCTAATTTGAATCTAGTCAGCCTTAATTAACACAGGTCTAGTAGCAAACCATAAACAAGTTTTTACAGGCATAACTGGAGTGTTGTGTTTGTTTTCTTATAAAAAAACACATTAATTAAGTTAACTTTGCTTCTATTAAAACTATTTTCCAGGTAGAATGTTTTCTGTGGATTCTACCGGGAAACAGTTTAATTAATTTTAAAAAGCCAATTACTTACAATAGATTGCTACTTTAAAAAGAAATGGCATGAAGTGATTAGAAATCCCATGCAAGTATGGCAGTAATAAAACAAAGTTGTACAATCTATATTTATAATAACTTTTTCCAGCAAGGCAAAAATCTTGCTTGTTCAGTTTAAAAGTTTCCAAATCTATCTCAAGAACATGGTCTTCAGTTTTAGAACTGCATCGTGCAAACCGAATGGACCTTTGTATGTCAATAGATGGGGGTTTTTTCCTTGAATTATTTCAGATAAATTTGCAGTAATAAATATTTTATCTGCCAGTTTAATTTTCTTGAGAAAGGTGCAATCACTGCCTATTTAGTGCCTTTATTAGAAGTCTCTTGTCTTTTGCCATTGGCGTCAGCTACTTCATTTTTTCCTAAGTTCTTTAAAGTTATTTGAATAGGAAGTATCCTTGAAATTAAGATATATTTCAAAATATATATCTGTAATCTTTTTAAAGACACATCTGGAATTTTGAAAGTGTGTCATTATTTTTCTTTATTTGTTACTGGTGAGACCACATCCAGACTATTGATTGATTCTGGATGCCATATTTCCAGGATATGGATTCATCAAAAAGAGTTCAGAAAATAAAATCAAAGATAATGCAATGATTTGACAATATTTGTGATACTAGTAGAGGGTACTTGTTCAGTTTGGAGTAGAAATCCGAGGGGAAGCATAGTACTCATGTTCAGGTATATAAAAAGAAAACGATTAATAAATGTTTCTCATGGTCAGAGAAATAAAAGCTAGAAACAAGAGCTATCAGTTGCAGCTATATACATTCAATTTAAATATAAGAAACTTTCTGACAGTAAAAATTGTACAACTGTGGAACAATTTTCCCAATGGAAGTTTTGGGGTTTTAATAAGAAGATAGGAACCATGGATCATGTCTCACTTATTTGTTTTTCCTGAACATTGCAAAAGTATTATCTTTATGACTCCTTTGAATGTAATTCTATGTATACATTAAAGTTTCCTTTATGGCTAGCTGGGCAGATAGCTTGACAGGTAGAAAGGAAGATGAATAAATGGAATCAACCCAACAATCCTAACTACAAAAGTCTAACATCTGAAGTAGTTATCCCATATCGTCTCTAGGAGACCTGCATTTCTCTTTAATATCTTCATGGAATAATATAGTAGATTTGCAAGTAGTTGCTTCTGTTCTCCTAGTAAAGTTTGCATATTCAGATCTTGGCAGGCATACAATAAAAGAGACTCTAGCTTCAGCTATCTATAATTCAACAGGCCAAGACACAGAAATCCTATAAGAAAATAATTTTAACTTTCACAAAAGTTAAATTAATTGTAGACACTTCAAAAACCGACTGAAAAAAAAAACAATCAGTTGTTTATGAACTTTATAGACCTGAATTTAAAAACAAATGTCCAGTTACTGGATAGAAGTAGAAAACATACAGAGTAAGCAGAAAGAATATTATGCTAAAATAAAATAAAATTGTATATATCTAAGAATAAATGCCAAGTGCAACAAATGACAAGTGTTGATGTGAATATGCATGGATGACCAAAAAAGGTGATGATATTAATTTTATTTTGGTTTTTTGCTATTGCCATGATTGTTAACTGACATATGATTAAAAGATTCTATACATCGTATAGTGTCTGTAAATGCCTTTTCCAGAATTGAATCTGGGATTCTGATTTGATAATTTCCCATCCCTACTGATCAGCCAAAGATCAACAACTGCACAAGAATCGAAAAGGTAGGATCCATAATTTCATCACTTGGAAACCTGATATAATTTTAATTTCAAGAATCCATGCTTAAATAAAAGCCATGCACATTTTTAAAAATTAAAAAATCATATAGAACACACATTATCCTTACTGCATGGCTGGCTGCATCAAATCTGGATCATATAGTTTCAATCTTCAGGATAGTACAATGCAACCATTTCTGTGGCAAAAATAAAGCGTCTCTACATTAGAATTATGTCATCACAGCAATGGTTGGGTCACATCATAAATCATTAATCTATATAATGTATATTATATACAGTAATGAATATGTTATTCATGCCTATTCATAATAAAATTAGTTTATAAAAATAAAATTTATAAACTTTAATTTTGCTTTGCTATCACTTTTCCGTTTTTAATATATTTAATATCATATACTTTATTCTTTCTTTTGAACATAAACAAGGCTCTATGTTAACCCTGAATTTATGAATAAACCATTCTGTCCTGAACAATCCAGTGACCAGACTGGATAGACAAAGAATTTTGGCAAAATTTGATAAGATATGATATAGGAGAGAGTAAATGCCATGACCATTTCTTAGCAATTTCCTGTTATTTAGAGACATTAAGTGAGTCAACAGAATCGCTCCAATGAAAATTTGACAATTACAATTTGACAAAAATTTGCCAAACTAAGAGTTATCAATACTGAGCTACGTGGTAGAAGCATCACTTTGGTTCTCTAGTATTGATCTGCAATCATTCTGTTGCGTCATTTGAGTGGTAAAATGTCTGTCACAAGGTATGCAATTTCTTTGTAGGACTCTTACGTTCTGGAGGCACAATAACATAATTTTTGCATTTAAGTTAGGCCTTCTCAAGAATGAATATATCTCCATACATTATGCAGGATAGGAAAAAGTAATTGAAACCTCAGGCTTGTTTGCTAATCATCCAACTTGAAACAGGAGATTTTTCTACACTCTGCATTTTTTCTCCAGACATGGTAGATTCTGCTGACTTGTTTAAATGTCTCTAAATAACAGAAAATTGCTAAGAGATTATCATGGTATTTACACTGTTCTGTTCCACATTTTAGGAATAAATGTCTCTCATTGCCCAGAGGACCTTGACATCTTGAGGTGCCAGTGAAACATAAACATAGTCAGCTGTTGTACACATAGAGGAGTGTACATTTTTTCAGACAGAGGTAAGCACATTGTGGTGGTAATAAAGCAAGTGGATTGGTTCTGTTCCATTTCTATCTCCATAGTCACTTTAGAACAAAACATATTGGGAAAATATTATTTTTTTTATTTTTTAAAGGCACAAAAATAATTATGCTTTGAATTTTGTAGGTGATTTGTAGGTGATTTGTAGTTCTTCCTTTGTTTCTTCTAATTGGTAGAAGAAAGAGAGAGGGATATGCTTTTCTGCTGTCCTGACATTGATCACACTTGGAATGGATCATTTTTTGTTAATCTGAAGTTAACTATATGAGGTATTAGAACTATATGACCTAGAATTATATGAGATCCTAGCTCAAGATCCAGAATAATCTCAATATTATTGAGATAATATCTCAATACTGCGCCCTATCTAACAAAACCTGAACACTGAGCCCTATCTTTTTTTTTTAATAAAGTTTATTTTCATTTTTAAAAATACAATACTTTACATATATACATACAAGATTATTGCAACTAACGTACACAAATCTGCGCCTATACCACTAATACAATCCATTTCATTTCCCTCTTTTTTCTTTCACCCAATTATACCATAAATCCCAACATTTGTAATAATCAGAATCTTTTGGTTCCTAAGTAATTTCGTTAACCGGTCTGCCTCTGCGGTCTGTAATTTTCCAAATCAATTTATTTTCTGTGGGTATTAATTCGTTTTTCCATTCTTGCGTGTATAGTATCCTAGCTGCAGTAGTGATGTGGAGGATCAAATACCATTTTTCTTTAGTTATTTTGTGCGGTTTCATTCCTAATAAAAAAATCTCTGGTTTCAGCTCTGTATTATATCCTGTAATTTCCACCATCCAGTTCCGAACCTTGGACCAATATTTGCCTGCTTTGGGGCACATCCACCATTGGTGGTAGTACATCCCTCAACCATTCCCACACTTCCAGGATGCCGGAGAAACTCCCGGGAACATTCTTGCGATTCTTGCCGGGGGGATATGCCAACGATAGACCATTTTATAAATATTTTCCTTGTAGGGGGTTGACAAAGTAAGTTTCATATTCCTATTCCATATCTCATCCCATTTATCCAGATTTGGAGAAAATCCGAGGTTCTTCCCCCAGGCAATCATAGTGTCCTTAATCACCTCCTCACCAATCCATCATGATACTAAAAACTGGTAGCACCTTGAAAGTAATTTCTTTTCAATTCCTAATAAGATTTTATCTAACTCCTGTAGTGACCTATATATCCCCTCCTTTCTTTGGTCCTTCTGACTCTCGATTGTATTTGGGCATACGCCCACCAATCTACCTTTTTGCCCTGTTTTGTAAGCTCTTCCCGGGTCTTCAATTCCCCTTGAGGGTCAAGCAAATCCTGGTAAGTCAATGGTATTTCCTTATTTATATAGTGTCGCATGTGTTACTGCCTCTAATGGGGCAAACCAAACGGAATTATTGAATAATGCCTGTTCCTAACTCTTTCCCAAGATTCTAATAATATTCTCCGAAGGTAGTGTCTCTTAAACTGTCCACATTTCTTGTCCCTCTCCCTCCATAGAAAATGGTGCCAACCTTGACACAAATCATAACCCTCCAATGTAAGAGTCCTCTTCCTATTTAAAAGCATCCAGTCTCTGATCCAAGTTAAATTAGCCGCCTGGTAGTAAAATTACTATTTCGGTAGACCAAATCCCCCTCTACATGGAGCCTCTTGGAGCATTTTAAGTTTCTGCGCCCTATCTAACAAAACGAAATTCAACAGTAAGAAAAGTAAGATTTTACAGAAATTTGGCAAGAAAAACTAAATGGTCAGATATAGAATAGGTGGAATCTGGCTCAACAGCAGTAACTGCAAGAGGGAGTCCTAAAGGACAACCCTTAAATATGAGCAGCAGTGTACTGCAGCCACCAAAAAAGCCTATGCAGTCCTAGGCAGCATTAACAGAGGGATAGACTCAAGACCATGTTAAGTGTTAGTACCACTTTATAATGCCTTGGTAAGACCATACCTGGAATTCTGCATCTAGTTTTGGTAACTACAATATAAAAATGAAGTTGAGACTCTAGAAAGAGTATAGAGAAGAGCAACAAATATTATTAGGAGTCTGGAGACTAAAACATATGAAGAACAATTACAGGAATTGAGTATGTCTAGTTTAGTGAAAAGAAGGATTAGGACAGAGGTGGTTTTCAGCTAGTTCGCACTGGTTCACACGAATTGTTGGTGGAAATTTGGCCAAGGTCGCCGAAGCAGTACTGGCCACGCCCCCGAAGTGGTCCCCTGGTCACCGATTGCTCACCCCACCTGCCATATTCGTCACCACCATGTTCTTCACACACACGCATCCCATTGCCTTGAAAGTCCAATGGGATGCGCATGTGCGAAGAACATGGAGGCAACAGCAGCAGCTTTTTCTGCAACCTCCAGTACTTTTTGGCAGCCTGTGGCCAGCTGCCGCCTCTTTGAGAGCCACTTTCCAGCAGCAGCGGCTGGCTGGGGGCTGCCGAAAACTCTGGTCAGCTTGCCTTCTGGACTCTAGATCAGCTGCCGCAGAAGGTAAACAGCCCAAACAAAGAGGCAGTGGTGGGGGAGGAAGTAGGGCTAGGGCTGGGGCCGCTAAAGGAGGGGAAACAGGGGCAACTGGCGAAGGGAGGGTGGGGGTAGATAGGTGGAAATTCCAAAAATTTTCCTACCTTTTCCTGTGGGCGTGGCTAGGTGGGGGCTCATGTGACTGAGTGGGCGTGAGTGTGAGTGATGTCAAGTTGCCCCCACCTAGCCACGCCCACCGAACCAGTAGTGAAAGTTTTTGAAACTCACCACTGGATTAGGAGTGACATGATAGCAACAGTCCAATATTTCAAGGGCTGCCACAAAGAAGATGGAGGTCTCCAAAGCACCTGAAGGCAGGAAAAGAAGCAAATTAATCAAGGAAAGATCCAGTCTAAAACTAAGGAAGAATTTCCTGACAGTGAAACAATTAACCAGTGGAACAGTTTGCCTCCAGAATTTGTGAGTGCTCCATCACTGGAGGTTTTAAAGAAGAGATTGGACAGCCATTTATCTGAAGTGGTATAGGGTCTCCTGTTTGAGCAGGGAGGGGTTGGACTGGAAGACCTCCAGGATCCCTTCCAACTTTATTATTCTGTTCTGTTATTCTTTTCTTCTTTCTATGATCCCACATATCTATCCCATCAAAGCCCAAAGAAAGTCCGGAATTGTATAGGATCTCTTGCCATGGGCAGGGGTTTGGACTAGAAGGCCTTCAGGGTCATTTCCAACCCTATTGTTCTATAAGCTGTGTGAGGACCATTAATTGGATAGGAATTCTAAAAAAAAAAAAAAAAAAGTTGGGTAAGCTTATTGTAAGCGTGAGATATTGTTGGAAGACTGGGAATGGAATTAAAGGGAAAGTAGGGATAAACAATCAAGTGTGAAAGAGAGGGTCATGCAACAGCTTTATTTCATAAATGGCCAAGCCTTCTGGGGAGAAATCTGGGAAAAGCATTTCAAAGAATTGAAGGAACATTCACCTTAATTAATTCACTCTTAATGAGGGTGGAAATTCCTCTTATAGTTTCAAGATTCTATATTTACCCCAGACTAATGTGAAAGAAATCGTACTTAAATCTGTGTAATTCTTCCTTCTTCGATCTTATCCAGTTGTGTGGGACTTGGTAGTAAGGATCTCTTTGCCACCAAAGCATAGCAGTTGTCTTCAGCTGCTCATCCCCATAGTCATGTGATCAAAATTCAGACACTTGGCAACTGACCCATGTTTTTATGATGGTTGCGGTGTCCTGGGTCATGTGGTCACCTTTTGGGACCTTCTGACAAGAAAAGTCAATGGGGAAGCAAGATTCACTTAACAACTGTGTTACTAACTTAACACCTGCAGTTGATTCCCTTAACAACTGTGATGAGAAAGGTTATAAAATGGGGCAAAGTTCACTTCACAAATATCTCGTTTAACTATGGAAATTTTGGAGTCTATTGTGGTCATAAATCGAAGATTACCTGTATAATGTCTGAATTACATTTTTTTTAAAAAAATAAACTTTCTAATCCTGTATTAAAAAATGAGAAAACAGCAAAACTCCTGATCCTACCCACAGAGGCAGTATGCCGTTATCAACCTTATAGCATTCCTGTACTATAGGAGTAGGCAGCCATGGGCAGCCAAGGCATCATAAGGATTGCTCCATTGACCAGTTTTAGTTCTCACCCTGTTTTACAGATAGCATAGATTCAGCAGTTAATTTATGGAGAAATAAGCTCACTGGCAATAAATCTGATCATATAAAATACATTACATTCTTTGCAGTACTGCAAATATGTGATCAGGATAATAAGTGAAAAGCTATCACACTTCCCAACATAGTGCATTTTCTCAGTGTCCTAAAGTATGAAAAGATTTAAGAGTATATTGCAAAAGAAACACTTAGCAGAGGCATGCAAAATTCTGGCACCTTAAATGACAAGCCTATCAAAACTCATTATTCTCAGAATGGACATACTACAAGTTGGGAAATATTTGGAGTGTTATACTGAATTGGTCTTGAGTTAATCAGAACCCTGAAGCTATTAACATAATGGTTGACTTCCCTATTTTCTTATATTGCAATAGGGCCGTGATAGCGAACCGATGGCACGTGTGCCATAGGTGGCACACAGAGCCATGTCTCCTGTCATGCCAGCTCAGCTCTGGCGTGCATGCATGTGCCAACCAGCTGATTTTTGGGCCTACCAGAAGTAGGGAAACAGGCTGTTTCCTGCCTACAGAGGGCCTGGGGGGGGGTGGTGAAGGCCCGTGTTTATTTCTCACCTGGCTCCAGATCCTCTCTATGAATCTGGGGAAGATGAAAACAGCCTTCCCCACCCACTCAGAGGCTCTCTGAAGGCCCAAAATGGCCCATTTCCCAACTTCCGGTTGGACAGGAAGTGATGTTTTTTACTGTCCCCAGCCTCCAGCGCTTCTCTAGGAGTCTCTACAGGCATCACATGCCAGAGTGGGGTGGGAAGGGGGATTGTGCACGCATGCATGGGGCCTGGCGCATAGAAATATGGGTGTGGGCACGCGCACACGTGAATTTCCCCCGCCCCCCCCTTCCTGGCACGAGATGGCAAAACAATTAGCCATCACTGCAATAGGGTATTAAAATCATGGAACTCCTCTTTCTTCTGCCTGGAATCATGCAACCCATCAAGGGCTGCATCCCATGACTCAGCTGACCAGCTCAGCAGCCCATCCTGAAGACCCTCACTAGATGGTATTCAAGAGAAGCAAGAGACTAATAGGCAAGTTTAAATGGAACCTCTACAAAGCTCAGTTTTGATGATCCACAAGGAACATGTTTGCAGTTCATCTCTAATCTCTCTGCAGCTGCATGGACAAGGCTGACAGACAAGGCAACGGAAATGGCAAGAATAAGAGAGTGAAGCAGTCACTAACTGCTCTCAGAGGACAAGCTATTTGACTGAAAGTAAAGTCTTGAAAGGAATAAGACTGTATGGCGGCTCTTTGGTTCCTGTGGTGGAGGAATCACTTAGTAAGAAATAACAGTGTGGAAATCACTTAGCAGAAAATCACAGCATGACAGTCACTTACTACATAGGAACTTCAATGAAACCTAACACCTAGATGCTTGAAAAGGAAAAGCATTCAGCAGCAAATATGAAATACTTAAGAAATTGATGAAAAAGTTTTTATCTGCTTTCAGAGGCTTTTGTATCTTTCCCACTCTGGGTTATCTGAGCTTCAATGGGTTCTACTGGAAGAGGTCTAGCATGACTGAGTGAACAAATCACAGTATAGTTTGTTGCTTGCTTTATATAGGTCATAAACAAAGTCATCTAACATGTAGCATGCTGGTGTGAAAAAGTGATTGCCTTCTTAAATTCACTTACTCATTGAACAACTTTTAGCTACAGTAAGTACAACCAAATGTTTCTTATAACTGGTGAGCAGTTACTCACTTAGCTCTATAGGAACCTGACCTGATAGGAATTTCTTTGTGGTGGACTACCTTATCTCTGCACCATTTCACATACCTAATTTGAGGAAAACACCCTTAGTTCAACCAATTCAATTTAAAAGAATAATTATGTCCAAATGTATAAGTAATTATTAGATTATTTGGCCCAGTACAATACAAATCTCAATTCCTACTATCAAAGGAAAGTTCTGAACCCTATCGATTCTAGAAGCATGCCATGGCCAGCTCTCAATATGTTTCCAAAAAAACAACAACACTATAAAACGTTATTGTCAATCAATCTGGAAAAGTTTAAAAATCATTTTTAAAACTCCAGGGCTCCACTGCTCCATAATCATAGTCTTGACATTGAGAAGATTTGGGATGACAATGAATCTTCCTAAGAGAAACCATCCTGTCAAAATCACACCAAGAATAAGAGGAATCTCCAGGAAATCACAAAGACTCCAGAAAAACACCCCTAGATCTACAAGTGTTTTTACTTATGTATAGTTAGTTTTCAGTATTTCACCAACATTGGATAAAACTAGGATTCATGGGAAGATAGCAAGGTCAAAGTAATTGCTTCCTGTGGAGATATGCAAACTCAACTACCAAAGCAACAAGGGGGAAAATACATATTAAATCCACAACAAGCAGACAGCATTCATAAGTGGATAAGTGGTTCAGCCAGACACCTTTCTAATGCACAAACCATGTGGAGGAGGTACAGCCCAAACAGATTTGCACTGATTTTGCTATTATTGGCAATTTTAGTACAAGTAGTTTTAGATCACCTGGAAAGTTGATTGGTTTTGTCTTCTTAGTCCGACTAATTGTCCTAAAATGAGCAATGCATGTCACAAAGCCCTCACATGTTACAGTTTGCATTATAGGCATGAGCTATATTACTACACAGTACCATAACTGATCACCAATTCCAGGGAAATTTTGTAATTTGAAAATTTTAAAATGATACAGAATTAATCAAAGGTGGAAATTATTTTTTTTTATATTAGTACATTGGTCCCTGGATCAAACATTGTATTAACTGTCCCTCAATTCATGTACAGGTAGTGCATACGCTGAGAGCACTTTTGGTGTGAAAGATATGCAGCCATAAAATCTAAAAGGAAGCTAATATTTTTCATGGAACTATAATATCCTATCTTCTTTGAGAACAAACATAATTTATTTTATATTCTACGCAGTGCCCATTCAGAAATAAATTTCATACTGCAGTTGTTATACAGATTTGAGGTTAGCATCAGATTTCATTTAAATAAGGGTCCTCTCTTCTACTAGGGTCTTGCATTCATTTCAGCAGCCCTGAAACCCAAAGCGTAGAAAGCCATTCATCCTAAAGAAATACAGAAATCTCATTTGGATTCATATGATTCATGGCAATCTGGCATGAATATTGGCAACTGCTCTTTTTAATAACTATTCTAAAGTGGGACCTTTCTCCAGGGCAATAGAAGAGAAGAAGAAGAAGAAGAATACTCTACCATTGTGGCCACATTTTTTGTGGTATGCATGCCTTGGAGTCCTGCTACATCAAGCTATTTTTTATGGGGTGGGCAAGAAAAGTGGCAGCTGAAGGAACCATTAATATATATTCTTTTGGAATTGTCTCTCTTATAGGGTATCAAGATTTTAACGGACACTTCTTTGAGGTGAAGATAAATAAGACAATCCTTTGGATAGATCAGATGATGGTAGGCAGGAAATGTAAGTCTCATCAAAAGATAAATACAGTACCAGGTTGCAGAGGATAAATAGCATACAAATCCCAGCGGCACATATATTGTCAAACATTTGTCTTGGTGGCATGCCCTCCGGGTGTGTTAGCTGTTAGCATGGTGAAAATGACAATATAATTCACAGTTATGTAACCTTCAGTGTTAGCAAGTATACAAACAGACCTTAGAGGAAAGAGATGTGTTTCCTTCTTGCTCTTCAAGTCCATGGCCATTTTGTTTTGTTTTTGTCTAAAGTAGAAAAATTGAGTACATACTGTATTGTTTTTCAGTCAGTATTTGGCTTCACAGCAGTAAAGAGCTTGACAGTGGAAAGTCACTCTTAGTTAAGAACAGTCCTTCAGGTAAGAAATCCAGTGAGATAATTATTTCAGTGCAATCACAGTACTAAATTACAATATTTCATTGCATTGTTACAAATCTGCTTGTTCTATGCATTATTTCCTCTGCATATGTCAGAAACATACAAGCTCCATTTGATCTTTTCAATAATATTGGACTATTTTATGTATTCTTTCAGTAAACTTTTACATTAGAGATCAATATGACTTCATCCAGAGGGAAAAGAAAATTTCCAATAGTTTTCTAAGGCCAAGATTTATCATTATTGTTGAAAATGTCCAATAGATGTAGTTCCTTCATGAAGAGCCAGACAGTCTTTTACTATGCTGCAACAGATTTTTTTTTCTTTAGAAAACTTGGTTTAAAAAAAGTGCTATGACAAATCTGAAGCAAATGGATGTACACCAGAGATGGGTTTCAGCAGGTTCTGACCAGTTCTGGAGAACCAGTAGCGGAAAGTAGTTCAGAGAACCGGTAGTAAAAATTCTGACTGGCCCTGGCCCCAACTATTCCCTGCCTCCGAAGTCCCAGCTGATCAGGAGGAAGTGGGAATTTTGCAGTAACCTTCAGAATGGAGATTTTACAGGGCGTGACAGGGGTATCCTTCCCTTGCCATGCCCACCAAGCCACGCCCACCAAGCCATGCCATGTCTACCAAGCTACACCCACAGAACCGGTAGTAAGAGAATTTGAAACCCACCACTGATGTACACCAGTGGTGAGTTGCTCCTGGTTTGGCCCGGTTCGGCCGAGCCGGTAACAGTGACTCTATTACGTCACCGAACCAGTTCTCTTTCTTCGGGAGCTGGGCCCTCCTGGCCGCCCCCGCATTATTCCGACCTTATATTTCTTCTTTTTTCACCCAGCTGAGAGGTGCAGCAGAGCGGATTGCCGCACCTCAGCTGGGCAGATTTGCAACACGCTTGCGCAAAGCACGCGACTGAAGAGGCGATTGCACGCGAAGCATGCACACAAAGAGAACCAGTAGTAAAGCTGGGTAGAACCCACTCCTGATGTACACACATGTAAAACATCAAGAAACACTTTCCAAATTAGCTATGTGATTCGGTAAATATATGAGCCTGCTTTAACAATTTGAAAAAGCAGTGAATTATGCATGCTTCTATATCTTCTACAGCATTTCTTTTGAAGGACTGGGACAGTTTAGAATCTAAGATAATAGCAATAGCAATAGCACTTCAACTTATATACTGCTTCACAGTGCTTCACAGCTCTCTCTAAGCGGTTTACAGAATCAGCATATTGCCCCCCAACAAATGGAGTTCTCATTTTAGCCAATTTGGAAGGATGGAAGGCTGAGTCAACCTTGAGCCTGGTGAGATTTGAACTGCCAAATTACAGGCCAAATTATAGTCAGCAGAAGTAGCCTGCATTCTAACCACTGCACCATCAACCACATTTATGGATATGAAACATGCAGGCATTCTTTGGAATAGATCCTTATGACAATCAGTATCCCACAAAATTGAAACCTGCTTTGACACACAACACAAGATAAACAATAAACATACCAGTAAATAAAAACACAATTTTGTCTCCCAGAAGCACAAAAAAAAAAAAAAGAGAACTTGGATGATTATAGATTCATGCTTCCAAGTTAGTCTTGACTCCTGGCAAGTTCTTGAAACTCCTGGCAACATGAACTCCTGGCAACTTTTTGGTAACTAATAATGTGGGATAGAGAGCATCACCATTAAATGAATTTGTAACTGGTTGACAAACTGTATTCAACTAGTAGTCCTTAATGGTTCTACATCTACATGGAAGGAAGGAAGCAGTGGGATTCCACAAGGTTCTGTCTTAGGTCCAGTATTTTTCAATATCTTCATAAATGATTTAGATGAGGGATTAGAAGGGCAACTCATCAGATTTGCAGATGACAATAAGCTGCAGGAATAGCCAACACCGCAGAAGACAAGCTAAGGATCCAAAAAGATCTTGACAGACTTGAACAATTGGTCCTATCCAACAACATGAAATTTAATGTGGAGAAAAGCAAGGTTTTACACCTAGGCAGGAAAAACCAAAGGTACAAGTATAGACTAGGAGAAAACTGGCTCAAAATAGTAACTGTAAGAGGGACCATAGAGTTCTAGTGGACAATCACTTAAATATGAGTCAGCAGTGTGCGGCAGCAGCCAAAAAAGCTAATACAACCCTTGCTTGTATAAACAGAGGCATAGAATTAAAATCATGTGAAGTATAAGTACTGCTTTATAAATCCTTAGTAAGACCAAAACTGGAATACTGCATCCAGTTTTGGTCCTACATTACAAAAAATGATATTGAGATTTTAGAAAAGAGGCAAAGAAGAACAACTAAGATGATTAAGGG